GGGGGGGGGGGGGGGGGGGGGGGGGGTGTTACGCCACCAACACTAGATAGTACACGAGATAGTGTACTGCTGACCTCAACTCGAGATGTCGTGGGTCGGTGGGCAGAATACTTGGAAGACCTCCTGAATCTCACTGGCACGTCTTCCACTGATGAAGCAAGGTTCTATAAATTTATAGACAGAATTTCTAGGCACAGACAAGGTGTTGAGGGGATCCGTTTTGGTGGCCTTAGGATCGCTTCTCTGTTTTTTGCAGATGATATGGTTCTATTGGCTTCATCAGGTCCTGATCTACAGCTTTCTCTGGAGCAGTTTGCAGGCGAGTGTGACGCAGCCAGGATGAGGTTCAGTTTGTCCAAATGCAAGGCCATGTCTGAGCCAGAAAAGGGTAGAGTGTCCTCTCCAGGTAGAGGAGGAGGTCCTGCCCCAAGTGGAGGAGTTCAAGTATCTCAGGGTCTTGTTCAGGGTCTTGTTCATGAATGAGGGAAAAATGGAGCGCAAGATTGATAGGCGAATAGGTGCAATGTCAGCAGTGAAGCAGGCGCTGTATCGGTCTGTCGTGGTGAAGAGAGAGCCGAGTCAAGAGGTGAAGTTCTCTATTCACCGGTCAATCTACATTCCTACCCTCATATATGGTCATGAGCTTTGGGTTGTGACCGAAAGAACGAAATCTTAAGTCCGAATGCTCTTTGTGGACTTCACATCCGCCTTCAACACCATGATCCCCCAAACCCTGATGGACAAACTATCCACACTAGGACTAAGCCCCTCCATTTGCAACTGGGTACTAGACTTCTTAACAAACAGACCACAGTTAGTGAGGATCCACAACTTCTCCTCCTCCACCATAACCCTCAGCACTGGCTCTCCTCAGGGATTTGTGTTAAACCCCTCCTGTTTACTCTGCTCACGTATGTAAGCTACCCATCCAGGCTGCCGCATTGTAAAGTTTGCAGATGATACAGCGGTGGTGGGATGCATCATAAACAATGATGAGTCCAGCTACAGGCAAGAGGTGGAACACCTGGAGAGCTGGTGTAAAAAGAATAACCTTCACATCAATGTGAATAAAACAAAGGAGATGACTGTGGACTTCAGAAGGAACAAAAACATCTACAGCCCCCTGAACATAAGAGGATCTGCGGTGGAAGTGGTCTCCAGCTACAAGTACTTGGGCGTACACATGAATGACAACCTCAGCTGGAGCAACAACACCACCAGCCTGATCAAGAAAGCTCATCAGAGACTCTACTTCCCCAGGCAGCTGAGACGAGCTGGTCTGGGAAGCTCAGTCCTCACCTCCTTCTACAGGTGTGCAGTGGAGAGCATCCTGTGCTCCAGCATCAACGTGTGGCATGGAGGCTGCACAGCTGCAGAAAGAAAAGCTTTGCAGAGAGTGGTGAAGGCTGCACAGAAGACTGTCGGAGTCAGCCTCCCCACCATCACAGACATCTACACCTCTAGATGCAGGAAAAGGGCTACCTGCATCATGAAGGACCTCACTCACCCAGCACACACACTTTTTGC